AAAAAGACCGTAACCACCAGGTGGATCATGCGTGTATCTCATAGTAGCTCTTATTACACCCTTCAGGTGTGGTTCATCATCCACATAGCTATCTTAAACCTGCCACATAGATGCAAAGCTCATTAGTCAGGAAACATATCCTATACCATACGTTCCATTTTATTTAAGGGGTTTCTAGTAAATGCAACTTGAACTCAAGGTTGGGTTTATCTTTTGCTGGTATTAGGAATTTTTTATTATGTTGTCCCTCAAAATTATCATCATCCTGCACAGGTGGTTGTCCAGCATCCAACAGAGGTATGAACTATGGCAGTAGATACTATTGGAAAATAAGATGGAATAAGATAGAGTTCCTACAGGGCCTATGCTTATTTTTTCAAAAATATATATAATTACTGCATATTTTATAGACTACTATGTGGCATTTTCATACATGCACACATATGCACACACATACACACAGACATACACACTTTGGTCCTATCCATCCCATCTATTCTTCCTTACCCCTATGATGTTTTAAAAGCTATAGGGTTCCATAATCTTCAAATGATACTTACCACATTATTTTATAGTTTAAAGTCAAATTCCATGCCCCTAAGAATGCCCTGGGATCTATGGGCTGATCATTGGACAGTAAGGGCTACAGGCCTTACAGAGAGCAGTGGACACCTTTATGTTGGGCACTTAGGGGCCACTTTAGAACTCGAGCATGGGGGCGTAACGAAGGCCCCTGAGGAGACAGCAGCAGCTGTGTGGGTGTACTGTGAGATAAGTTGCCCCAGGGTGCTCTTTTGTGGGGCGGACTGTTTGGAGGGAATTTTTCTGTTTGTGTGTGTGTGTGTGTATATATGTGTGTGTGTGGTTTTAGGATCTCACTATGTGGTCATTGTCTATGGACTCCCTTTGAATTCCAAATTTTATTACTACTGAAGTAAATGCTCATGTTAAGTAAGGAGATTCTAAGCATAGAATTTTACCAATTATTACATCTTTTTGGTTTGTTATCACAGACTAGATGAGACCATACAGGCCATTGCTAGTGGAACCTTGAGCCGGCCACTGAGATCAGATAGATATTCTGAAGAACCTTTGGGAGTTCTGGTCAACCCCAATCTGTACCAGTCTCCACCCCAGGTTAGTGGGCCTTTCTTCTAATTCATAATGAAATTTAATCCCAAATATTGTTCCACTCAGGTGTGTCTGTTTCCTAGGCTTTGGATACCAGTTTACTCTTAACACGTCCATAAACTCTTCTCTAAGGCTAGTTCTAGTTATTTTTGTAGCACTTCTAACAAACTAAGCAGTTTACCTTATGAGTTATCTTCTTTTTTTTCCCCCATGGCCACAAAGAGGACAAAGTTTTTGATAACTCAATCTCTACATAAATTATTGCACAAAGTATGAGTGGATCAATGATTATATCAATAACAAACTCATGAACATTTTTGCAAAATTACCACTTCAGGTTTTGATGCTTTCTGTGCATGTACTTTAGTAAAATGGGAGGAATGAACTCACTACTGTAATTCAAAAGAATCAGCTTTCAAAAAAAGTACACACACACTAAAAAAAAAAAATCCTTATTCCAGGGGCCTGCCCCTTAGCTCAGTTCTTTAAGTGGCTGCTTCAACAAAGGAGTCAGCCTCAGGTTGCTGTGGTTCGACCCCCACAACTCCAGCTAGCCAAACTTGCCCTGAAGGCATTCGGAGCCAGCCAAAAAAAAAAAAAAAAAAGTACAAATGTCATTTTTTTGAGTACTTGCTATGTCAAACCCAGAAAAATCAATCAAGTGACACAAGGGGTCTTTTGAAAGAAAAGTTGGTGACAAAGATTATTAGGTTAAAATATTGTTTACAACATTGGACTTATGAGCCAGAAGCGCACAAACACTGGGAATTAAATGAGCCCCTGTTCTGCTTTACCGTTTACTCTGAGCAAGGCATTCTCAGCTGCTACAGTATCTTCTATTAGTATCACCTGCTGCTTCAAAGCACTGAAGAAATATCAGGAGAATTCGTATAAAAGGCTTTTGAAATAAGATTTTTCCTCTCAAGATAAAACTAGTATGATCTTGGGGCTGGTGAAATGGCTCAGTGGTCTAAAGCACCTACTTGGAACAGGCTTGGCAGAGCACAGGGACCACGGTTCAATCCCCCAGCACCACATGCCAGCCATCTGCGCCCCCTGGTGGACTGAGCTGGCCACACACACGCACACACACACACACACACACACACACACA